CAATTACCATTTGTGTCATAGTTTGTTAGATTTAGGACCTACCTGGCCAGGGGCTGGCTGTGGTTCCTTTAGCTGAACACCAGGAACAAAAGATTAAATAAAAGCAGTTCTCTTGTGATGCTAAAAGTGCTACAATATTCCACCAGATTTAGCAATATAAGCAAACTTAACAGGCTCTGTAGTAGCTTTGACAACAAATTATATTCCGAGTACTGGTACAACTATTTTCCTAAAAGCTTTGAGTACTGGAATTAAAGGATTTTCGCAAAATCCCCTTGGAATAAGTAATAATCTGAATCTTTCTATTATCATGGTCAATGCACCTGAACAAATTAATTTGAAGTTGCAGTAAAGAGCAACAGTCACACATGCTAAATATTTAGTTTGTACAGAAAGCGGCACACAACTCTAGAGAGATCTTATCTATAGCAATTACCTAGGCAAATCACTGACCTGAGTTGAATTTTACTCTTTCAAACTATAGATATTAGAAGGGAGCTTACAAAAATTAGTTATAAATATCAAATATATTTTGCATTTTCTAGACCACCAAGTATTCACAAAATGTATTTTATTTGTGTGTGAGGTTTCCACACACTACGAACACTTTACTTGGATAAAAATCCCACATGGGAAGAAGTCAAACAAAGTGCATTTCCCTGAACTCTGCCTACACTGTATGATATTAGTAAGCATTCTTCTGGACATGGCTTTGGATGCTTTTTAGGCTACTTTATCATAAATTTAGTTCTACATTTAATTTAAGTGAGCTGTTACCCACAGCATACACTGTAACGAATTTGGAGCCATGTTAAACTGCATCTCAACAATTTAATTTAAATGACTGTTTTGTATGTTAATTTATTTTCAGTAGATTGTCATGAACTGATTTATTGACGATTAATTACTGTATAAATAATAGACATCATAGGACTGATTCTCTTCTCTGATGCAGGTGCAGTTATGGAACAGTAAATTATACCTAATCCTCCCCCAAAATGCTATATGTTCCCATCCTGTTGATTACAAAAACTGCCCCAAAATCCTAAGCACACAGACCAAATCCTCCTACTTGATTTGATGCCATAGCAACACAAAAATGGTCCAGAGAAATACTCACAAAGCACAAAAAAGGGGTGTGGCCTGTGAGAGGAATCAGGGAACAGCAAAAGTGCAGTAATAACATTGGAGGTATGCACTATTGATATGTTGGAGGAAATTCTCAGGGATGCCTGGGAGCCCACTGTTAAAATTCTGGCAACAAATTAAAGGGAGAGTTGTGGCAATTTCTCTGCCTCTGACAGAGCCACCCCACTCTCTGGATATTAGTAAATGATCCTATCCAGATATGAATTACCTCTGGGACTCTCAAATATTTCCAACGAACAAATTTTGTGGGTTTGGAATGAAAAAGTCTGATGCTGGCAGGTATTTTAAAAATATTTTCTGGGCATAGATGTCCCCAGACTTCCCATAAAAGTCTAAATCCCCTCTTATTGCACCTACTGAACACTGTGCTATACTATCAATTTTTCAAGAGCAAAGGATAAAGGTGGTTTACTAAATGGTGCTGTCTCCTCGTTTAACAGTGAGAAATGGTTTTGCTTTAAATGGAAAAACAAATCAACACATTTTCCATTCCCTCCCCCTCCTCTACTCAGTGCCTGGGGTTATCAGACTCAGTGAGGGGCTTTTTGTGGGAGCTCCTTGTTAAAATGATGGTCAGCGCTTCACTGACCTGCATGTGGGTGTGGGAGGATAAGCATTTCAGAGAATTCCTATGCCTCTGTAAATGGTTGGTTATATGGACTTCATTTCCTCCCCAGAAACAGTACCCATGCAAAAAAAAAAAAAAGTGAGCAGCTGGGATCAGATGTGGTGTTTGAGCTGGAACCCACCTGATATAAGAGTGAGGGAGCTGCTAGAAGTTTCTCTGCTCTTTATCTCTAAACCTTTGGTCCAAAATAGTGTGAATTTGTTGACTTTTGAAGCATGATACAAACTCACCTATTTATCCAGGGTTCTAGGGAGGGAGGACACAATAAAGGCTGGTGTTAGTGGATGCTGGGTTATTATATAGGCTTTGATTTAATCTCTGGTTAACTGTTTTATAGTTAAGGGGTGAGGAGCAACAGGTGGTCAATTTTTTTGTGATCGTATGTTTAATTTACTGCAAAGACTCCTAAAACCTCGGGTAGGCACTTCTTAAATATAGGTATTGTAAAGTGAAATAAATAAATAAAATAAGAAGTGTGCCATTTAAAACTTCCCTTGGCAGCTTTAAATCTATCCCTATTCCTCCTCATCTGAGAGCACAGCCAACCAGTAGTGGTGAGGGAGGTGTCATTGCACCTTGAGGGATAAAGTGAGAACGCGCAAAACAAATGAGTGACAACTTTCCAATATGAATTATTTATGATATGGATGTCCTGATCATTTCATACCAACAAGACATAACTCTTGGAAGCTGTATTCTATATTCAAAAGGAGTGTGCTGTTTGGAGCTCAGATTTTCACTAGGGAGGGCTTTTGGTCCATGACAATTCTATGTCTGAACCCAGGGCTGGCTCCAGGGTTTTGGCCGCCCCAAGCAGCCAAAAAAAAAAAAAAGCTGCGATCGCGATTTGCGGCGGCAATTCGGCGGGAGGTCCTTCGCTCCAAGCCGGAGTGAGGGACCGTCCGCCGAATTGCCCCCGAATAGCTGGACGTGCCACCCCTCTCCGGAGTGGCTGCCCCAAGCACTTGCTTGACAAGCTGGTGCCTGGAGCCGGCCCCATCTGAACCACCCAGATCTTGCCTGTTATGAATAGGAGTGCTCTGCCGTTTGGGGCTTTGAAGGTATTTTTGATGATATATACCAATACACTGTGTTTTAAAGTGACATATAAGTTAATTAGGATCCTGTTCCAGAGTTAGAAAAGAGGTGCAAACTGCAGCTGGGCTATCAGACAATTGTACATAGCAGCATTTGTTGTCAATGTTAATATTCAAACCAGGTGACCAAATTTCCTTGGACCCTTCTAACTGACCTCTACTGTTCCAGGTTATTCATTCTACTAGCACTGAAGTCTGTGACCCCTTTGTGGAAGTCTGCTGGGCAATGGAAGATTCTCCCTGCAAAGTCAAATCTTTCAGTGGTCTGGGCTGCCATAGTGGCTCCTACTCCACCTCCCATGATGGTCCATGGCTCGGGAGTGGTCCGAGTGCAGATCACCACACCTATATCTGACCCTAAGTTATGCATCATAATTATCTTACTAAACTCAAGTAAGTTAGTAAGTAAGCTCCTCCATTCCTACAACCATCTTTGCAAAATGCTGAAACAGCAAGTTAAACTCAAGTTAAACATTTGGTAAAGCATGTTTAGGAAATGTAGGGTAGGATTTTCAAATGCACTCAGTGCTCACCTAACTCTGCTCTCAAAACTCTCATTGGCTTAAGGGGAGTGAGGAGGCCAATGCTAAGTGCTTGTGAGGCTCTCACCTTTAGTGTTTCATTAACTGTACATATACAGTATGTTTTGCTGATAACATTGAAATGCTGCAAACACTATGTCCTATAAAAGGAAAAATATCACACAACCTTATAAGCCATCTTTATATCTAAACCATTATTTTTGCATATAAACCACTACAAGTAAAAACACTGTGAAACCAAAACCATGAAACAGCTACATGAAAAAAGACCTTTATATTTTGCCCGACATCATTTCCAACACTGCAAAGCAAATGCAATGGTCAAGAATGTTTGACATTCCTAGAGAAAGATATCAACCAATGGGGCTGCAGCTATTTCACGCAGCGCCCCTCCTGTGCAGAACAGCAATATCCATTCTAGTTACCATGACAAACAATGACAACAGGCAAATTTTTCACCTCTCAAATGGACCAGAACCTTTTCTGTATAAAAGTCAGATCAGCCGGTATTTTTACTAAATTGGACAATGTTTGCAAGTAGAACAGAGGTAGTGCTTCTAAAACTACCTCCTCGACCCCATGCTGAAGATTTATTGAAGACAATATAGAATGGCAACAATAGTCAATCACAGGTGGCAGATTGTCTTTTTAGTAGGCGTAGCGAGGCTAATCAATCTAAAAGCACTTTCCCTTCTACCCCGAGGCCATTTACTGTTAGAATCCATTTAAAAATTCAGTAGCCAATAAAAATGCTGAAATTATTTATTTTAATTTAGAAAAATTATTGACAAGTGCTCAAGGTGCTAAATATGAGCAATCCCAGATACTTTTGTTTGGTAAAGCACCCCACTGGTGTAATTTACAAAGACTCACATTTTAAAAGAAAGTTTTAAAACAAGGTTTTGTGGTACTGTCATCCCCAGAGATGTCAAGCACAGAAGAAAGGCTGTGAGAGAAAGAAAAACAATGGGAAGCACTGAATGCTGTCTTACCGTGAGTTGATCAAAAAAGTCCTCAAATGAGGATAAATGGGAAGGTGGGTTACTGAACTATAATCACAGGTTGACAATAAGGTCATCCTCTACAGTCAGAGGATATACCTATATCAGAGAGCTGGAAGGGACCTTGAAAGGTCATCAAGTCCAGCCCCCTACCTTCACTAGCAGGACCAAATACTGATTTTGCCCCAGATGGCCTCCTCAAGGATTGAACTTACAACCCTGGATTTAGCAGGCCAATGCTCAAACCACTGAGCTATCCCTCCTCCTTGTTAGACAACTGGTGGGAGCTACCAAAAACTATTTGCTATGAAAAGTGAGTGAATAATTATAGAGCAACAGAATGTAGGCTAGTCAGTCATCTCTTGGTGTAAGATGTCAATATGTTACTAGTTCAAATTGGTACAGTACATGCTTTTAGGAGGCATACGAGAAAAGTGTGTCACTGAGTTTATCTACTGCATAACTGAGTATTTTCCAGCAGCAGCTCCCTCTTTTAGGAGGGACACTAGAAATTTTTTTTTCTTGGAATAGTGCAGACATTGGCATACGGATAATTTTATAATAAATGAAGTTATCATCTTACCAGTTTCACAGTTGGGTCCAGTGAAGCCCTGTGGACAGGCACAGACATTGGAAGCAATGCAGGCTCCTCCATTCCTACAACCATCTTTGCAAAATGCTGAAACAGCAAAAGTAGAATGTATCAGAACCTATCAGCTAAGGGCTGCGCATAGTAACTGTGCAGGTGTTTGTAGCCCCCCAGCCCACCCCCGATGCAGCAGCCAGACACAAATGCAAACCCTGCAGCTTTTCTTAATTCAGAGGCTGTTCCGTCCTAGGGATATAAGACACTCCAAAAGGTGCAGGGAGGAAGCTTAGTTATGGCCCCCTACCACACTAGCCAGATGAGCTGGCAGGGTGCAGAAAGAGGACTGGATTGCACCATCCTGAGACATTTCAGCCTGTGCACTGCCTCCTACTTCACAGGGGATTGTCCCCTTGAGGCACAAACCCTCCTGAGGGCTTAGCGGCTCTACACTGCCTCCCAATACAGGTCTATGCCTATTAGACACAACTGAGCACTAAATCAATTAGCTATTTGATTCTTTGAATTCAGCTATTAGGTCCAAACTATAAAAAATGGTAATATCACCCCAAGAGATAAAGCGCTTTAAAAACTGGCTTTACCAATTATTGTCCAAAATCTGTCCTCACATTTGCATTTGTGCCTCACACTGATGCCAATGAAGCTGCATCCATTCATTCAAGGACCACTTTCTCCAGATACAAATATTGGAATTCTGCCAGGACTCTGGGGGTTCTTAGATAGTTACAAGTGGCCTGCACCTTGGCTTTGCATCTATCTGAAATATGGTACCACCACCAGAATGGGACTGAACATCCTCACATCTCAGTAACTTCTGTGAAATGCAGCACTAGGCAGTCTAAAAGCAGCTTTGTGGCTCTGTAAAATTCAGCTTCTTTGTAAAACTAGCAATATAATCTGCAATGTTTACCAGGGTCTGACAGTGGCTGTAAGCAACCAGCTTCTCCTGGGGAGTAAAGGTTTCAGGGTCAACATCTACTGCTGTCTTTTTTCACTTACAAAAGGACATTACATACGCAACAATATGCAATTCAATCTGTAGTTCATTCAGGTATAATAGCAAGTGATTGATGGTGAATAAATTGCATTTGGTAATAGGTTTTCCTAGCTGTTGGTTACTGTGGTTATTTTGAACAGGCTACTCTGTATGAAAACAAAATTATCTTGGGATAGATACCAGAAGTATTTACTCCACCATTTCAGAGCTTGCAATTTATAAATGCTAAATTTTCAAACTACTTGGAACTTTGTAAAAGACAAAGTCAATGGATATTGGCCCATGCAATCCTCTTTGTGGAATCAGGGCTTAAATGCTAATGTTCTACAGTGTCTTCTTCAAGGTACACCAACAGATCTGTGTTAACCATTACAAGAGAAATGTTATCAAGTCTGAAGACAATGCATGTTACAGCCCAGGGTTTCTGTTCATTTACCTTTACACATGGTACCATTTCCTGTATAACCTGGCTTGCAGACACAGTTGTGCCCACCCACAGTGTTGAAGCAGAGTGCATTTTCATCACAGCTGTGCTGGTTTGTGATGCATTCGTCGTGCTCTGAGAAGTGAAACGAATGTTATTGAATTGTGACACTACAGTAATATAAAAGCTTTAACTATATTTCCATGTAAATAAACCATAAACTCAGTAGTTACTAAGCAGGATTTGCATATTGCCAAGAAGTGGATTAAGCAGTGGGCAACACCCTGAAATTTGACATATTGCTTTCCTTCGTTATTCACTTAGCACTCAGTTCTGATCTTTGTTCATAAAAAAAAGAGTAGCTTGAAAACAAAGGTGTCTCTCCTCTTTCAGGGAAATGGGACTTTTACCTTATTCTGTTATTGGTTTTGGCAGATCAGCACACACAAGCTAGGCTGCTGCTTATGTTTCCATGTTGCTTCTAGCAAATTTGTTAAATACAGTTTAATACATTTTTATTTATATACCATATGCCTTGCTCTGGCTGTCCAATACAAAACCAACTTCTGCTTCAGGCATGTTCTAATGGCCTCAGCATGGAGCTGGGACCCACAAAATCCTGAAATTTTAATTTGGACTCAGGCACTTTCTTCTGTGGCCTTGGTAACATCACAAAGCCTGGGTTTCCAATTTGTCAAACAGGGCTAATAGTTATCTACTTCACAGGGCTGTTATGAGAATTAATCCCATTAGTGTTTGCAAAGCATTAAAGTGCTAGTTATTATAACTAGCAATTTCTTTACTAGATATAAAATTATGGGCATACAGAATTTGTTTTACTGGCTCAGACCTCTGACCCATCGAGTCTGTAATTCTGCCTCTTGTAACGACAAATATTTTGCTTGAAATGACGGTTAGCACATCTATGGTGCAACTAGCCAATTGTACAATATTGTATGGGCAGAGGCGTGGGGGAGAACTCATCTTCTGTTTGTAAGCACCTACCATGACAGGACCCTACTCCTGAGCAGGGTCTCTGGGTACTAGCAGAGTACAAATAATAACCCTAGATAGAATACAAGCTGAGACCCCAATCCTGCAATCTTCACTGAGTTGAGCCTCCCATTGAGTGTAATGAGTAAGGACTGCAGGCACGAGTCCTGAGGCATGAGATTTAATTACCCTGATCACAGCATGGATAATTAAAAATGTTATTCATAAAATGATCTGGCTCTTTTAAAAATCCAGTTACAGTATTCGACTCTGACCTCCTGTAACAGTGAATTCCACAGGCTAACGTCATGCTGGGTTCAGTAATATTTATGTGGGATCAGTCCATTATAAAAGAGAAAAAATGTCACAACTATGCAATTAGGCACACGAGTATCAGTTGTGCTGTACTGATATCCTGGCTTTGTGTCATTATCTTAATGTTATTTAAATATAATTTAATTTCCTTGCTTTTTTCATTCCATACAACAAAACAGAGTAACAACTATGGAAGTGTAGGAAACATATTCTTTACTCAATGCACAAAAAAATCTTTCCATGCCATTATGATGGTCTCTTGGGTTGTAGGATATGTACAGCAGTACTTGGCAATTACTGGGGTCCTCATTGCAATGTACTGAATTTTGCAAGTTATCTGTCATGTTCAGCCAGGGAGTGTGCCCATCAGCACTGTTCCTTGGAGATGGTGGGGTAGGCCAAACCCCTTTGATATCATTCCAACACCCTCCAATGCCCTAGAATACAGATAAATGTATACTGGAGAAAGAGGGAAAGTCACAGGCTGCAGATCTAGAAAGGGCAGTACAAAGCAGCTGTTGGGGAGAGCTCCAAGAGGTTGTGGCAGCATCCACAGCTACTGGGACATGGAGCTGTTGTGGTCTCCAGGCCAAGGAGACTTGGCCCTAAACTCCAAGTACTTAAATATATAAGTATTCCCACTGAAATCAATAGGAAATTCATGCATTTAAGAAATCAATTGGGGCCTTAGAGTACCTGGTATGATGTATGTCCTACAAAGAAATAGAAAACTACTGAACTTTTGAATGTTGCTTAGCCCAGAGATTACATTATAATGGTATAGTATGTGGACTCTTAAAAGAGATATTTTCCTTAAAATAAGAACATAAGAACATAAGAACGGCGATACTGGGTCAGACCAAAGGTCCATCCAGACCAGTATCCTGTCAACCGACAGTGACCAATGCCAGGTGTCCCAGAGGGAGTGAACCTAACAGGTAATGATCAAGTA